ATTTTTTAATTCAACCTCCATAACAGCTACATTAATTATAAATTATAATAAAAGTTTAATTAAATTTAATACTTTAAAATTTTTATTGGCAGTAGGTAGTAAATAGTACAATCAAAATTATTTAAATCAAAAATGTTAAATAAAAATATATTTTTATAAATTTGGTACTTTTCTTGATTTTTTTCCTGCAGTCTTCTATAATTTCATCAAATGAAAAAAAATTTAGTACATCATTTTCAATGCTCATAATAGATAAAAAATTTAATCGCCCTTCATGCATTGAAGTCCTTAATCTATTTTGAATGATCTTCAACCTTGAAAAAGAGCGTTCGCCACTACAATTAGTTACCATTATAATGAGATATATGCGTAGTGCAACTTCAACATTTGGAAAAGCTGTTTGAACGTCTTTTTCAATCAATGTCTTTTACATTAAATGCTCATTACTCATTTGTGTTGGTTTAGATTTAGAATAAAGTTTTATAAATTCAACAAAATGAACAATTTCAACACATAACAATTCATCTAAATCATCTTTGTATACTGTTACAAGTTGTTTAGCGGCTTCTTGCAGTTCTTCATAGCTAAGTTCATATAAAAAACCAAAACGATTACATATAACTTCATATGCTTTCAATCTCTGATTTATTGAAGTTGATAGTTGGTCAAATAGTTGGTAGAAAACAATTTATTTTAAAATTTTCCAAAGGATTAAGTTCGACACCTGATGAACTTTTGTAACCTAAAGGATCTAATCGGATATTGTGTTTAAAGTTTCGTTTTCCAACAGAGTCTGATATAACCTTGCCTTTTTCTTCATACACTGGAAACAAATCACGTTGAGCATCAATAAAACACTTTAAAGACTTGACACACATAACATCATTATTGAGGTCTAATGTAGGAGCTTGAAGGATTTTATTAGTGGCATTAAACTGATCTAGAATTTCGTGCCAAAATATACAACATACACCTGTTTCAAGTAGACACATTTTTTTGTACAAACCATTTGATTCATGGCGTGTTTTTCGTAGCTCATTTAAGTCCTCAGAAAAACTGAGCAGAGTAGATTTTATTTGAGGATACCCTTGAACTAATGCTTTAGTTATATCGGCNTAGATTTTATTTGAGGATATCCTTGAACTAATGCTTTAGTTGCATCGGCTCTGCATGACCAGCGAGTGGTGGAGATTCGTTTTGGTACAAGCACGTTTGATTTTTTTTCATTTGATTTTAAGTTTTCTGTTAATACATTATAACAATACGTCGAAGAAGTAAAAAAAAACAAAAATTTCTTCTAAAAAGTTAAAAAAAGATATAGTGAAAGAACTACATTCAGCAGCATATTTTCCTACTAAGTTTAAAGAATGGGCAGCACAAGGAACCCACGTAGATAAACTGTTTTCAGCAATTATTTTGCTTTAAAGACCGTTATATTTCCCACTCATAGCAGACGCATTGTCATAAGATTGACCTCGACAATTTTTTATGTCTAAATTACATTCTTCAAAAAATTTCATTATACCATCAAACATTTCTTGAGCCTTATGTCCTTGATTTGGCAAAAACTTTAAAAATCTTTCAACAGGATGAGGGCCTTCCATAAATCGAAAAATTATGGTTAGTTGATCAACATGACCTTAGTCAGGCGATGAATCTATAGATATGGAATAGTACTTTGATTTTTTTATGCGCGAAATTATGGTGTTAAATACTTGATATCGCATACATTTAGTTCTTCACAAATAGTTGAGGATAAATAATTAGTATTGCCACTTCCACAATTACCGGTTTCTTGAATATGTTTTTTTAAAAACTCGTCATATTCGGCAATAAGTTCTAGCAAACCAAGATAGTTCCCATTACTTTGAGATCCAATAATCTCATTATCTCCTCGTAAAGCCAACCCACGCTTGCATAAAAACTTGATAACACTTACAAGTCTCGTCAAAACCTTTTTCCAATAAAATTTTTCTTCACCCATTTGTTTTTGAAGTTCAGCATAAATAGACCTAGAATAACTGAACGATCTTTAAACGCTATAAATGCATTGAGATGATTCTTTGAAGTCTCATGCTCGAGAAGTTGTTCGTTAGAATTTTTCCAGTTGAAAAATCCTTCTGTGTTAAACTGTGTACGCAATGTAGTTGATGACATTAATTTACATATTGAACAGAAAAGGTGGCTTAGGAAGGAGAAAAGCATAACCATGATCGTTTAATTAAGTCACCATTTTTACATTTTCGTTTAAACATTCCAGTGTTACACTTACGAGTCCATTTACCAGTACTATTTTTTTGCACCAAAGATTTTTTTTTAATTAGCTCTTCATTGGAATTTTGTAAATGTATAATACCTTTGTTAATCCAATAATCTACATATGTTGACATATTTTCAGGCCATAATCCAATATCAATCATCATTTTAATTGGAGAATTTTGAGTTGTCTCTGTTTCAGAAGTATCTTGAATTTGAAGAGAATAGGGTATTTGATTTAATTTAACAAGATGCGAAACACTGTCCACATAATTTGAATTTTCTTCATTAAGCATGACAGAAACATTTTCACAAATTTGAGAATCTGTTGTAAAAATTTCGACATTCAAAGATTCTATTTTTTTAGCACTAGTATCATTAATGTTTGTTGGTTTTTCAATACTAGTATCATTCATGAATGTCGGATTAATAATTGTCTCAGAAGTATCAGAAGCTTTATTTTCGCTTTGTAATAAGTCTGACTTAAAAAACTAGGTATGCATTTTGTTTTTTTAATTTCATTTTCAATTTTTTCTTCTTTTTGCTTTTTTAATTTTCGGTTAGCAGCGCCACTTGCCTGAACTCTTTTCATAGTTTGAAATTCGAATTCCCTATAGTCAATATTTGATAATAAATTCGAAACCAAAAAAAAAAAAATTTTAATCAATATTAAAAATCAGAATTATGATGAAATAAAATTAAAATTGATTTTGATTTTGAAAATGTTCATTGTTGTTTTGTACGAAGCAGCTAGACCGTAGGACGGCTAGTTGTGCACCGCACTAGAATGCCGTTTTACCTTAAACTTGTTTAAATCGTTATTATTGATGCGGGAGTGAATCACCTAGGAGATGACAGCTAATGGTATATCCAATAAGTAACGAGAGTAGACAATATTTAAATCACAAATGAACATATACAGAGTGATTTTTTTATCATAACCCACTCAATTACTTACAGAATAAATATATTTAAACATTTTTTTTTTTGTTATCTTTAGTTACACATTATTCTTGAATTATTAACTATGTAATACTTTTTAAATGCATCCCTTATGCCTTGTAAGGGGGTCAATGTGTGCTGTATGTCCCAATGTCGTAATGTTATCATATGACGTATATCGGTATTAATTTTGCAGCCAAAATTATATAAATACAAAACAATATTTATTTTTTAAAGTTGATTTTTTCATAAGCCGAGGGTTAAAAAGTTAAAAAATTTTTTATAGTATTCGGCATCCGGTTGCCCCCAAACATCTGCTGCCCGGGGCGAGTGCCCTTAAAACCCTCCGTTAAATCCGGCCCTGATCGTTTTGCTACCAAAATGTCATAAAATATGTTTGCAATTAATCATTGACAAAAATAAAATATTTGCTCATATAAATGAATTTTTCAGTCATTTGAAGTGAAGGTCCGTAATTAGTAGACAATTTTATAATTCTAATAAGAATTGTTTCCATTATTTGTTCTTTTTTGAAGGTCTGTTTAGTGTTTCTTGGAGAAAAAAAAACGAAAGATTTTTTTTACTGCAGATTTCATAATTAACATTATTTTAATCGTATTTATGTTTAATTATAAACCTAATAATAACTTTAACCTTAGATCATTATTTAAGTAGAATATTTTTGTTGTTCTTTTATTTTATAATTGTATAATGATATATTATAACATATTCCACCATTATCACCAAGAATTGTTTACGTAAATAATGATTTAAAGTATTTATATAATAATATAAGTACGATTAAAATAAAATAATATTAATTATAAAGTCTGAAATAAAAAATATATAGGTATTTTATTTCTTTATAAAACATTAGATAAGGATGGTCACGAGGAAAAGAAAGAAAGGAAACAGTTCTTATTGGATTCATGTTTTATGTATAAAACGACGAAAAGAACATTACATTGATGGAATAGATATCATTTAAAAATAAATTAAATTATACGGGTATTTCCTATTAAAATATGAGGGGTTGAAGCCGCCCTCATGGTTTATATTGTAAATATTAATTTCTACTCTTGTAAATAAATTTATCTAACATATTTCTATTATATATTTTTATAACAGGATGTTGATGCATATATTTCTTTGAATCACAAGTAGAACAGTGTTGTTCAACATATCGGTAAGTAATTTATAAAAATCTGTTGTCTACATTTTTCATAGGCTATAATGTATTGTATTTTGTAGCAGCTGTTACATTTAAAATAGTGTTAAATATTGATAATAAAGAATTTATTATTTATTATTAAGTGTAGCGTCAATCGTAGATAAGATGAGAGGAAATAGACTTAGATGGTTTGGTTATGTTATGAGGAGAGAGGCTGTAAGAACAGTTATGAAAATGAATGTTGAAGGAAGAAGACGTAGAAGAAGATCAAAATAAAGATGGAGGGATATTACTGTCTGTGATATGAGGACAGCTTATGTCAGCGTAAATGATGTGGGAGATTGTGTCATGTGGAAGTTTAGGATAAGGGTGGCCGACCGCAAGTACTTGAGATAAAGTTAAAGAAATAGAAGAAGACAAGCGAAATTTTAAAACGGAAAATCTCTTCCAGGTCGACCTTATTTGAGGGGCTAGGATTTTAGTATATAGCTAGAGATAGTGTATAGCTAGAGACTAGAGATTAATCATTATTATTATTTCAGATAATAATTTTTTATTATTTATGATTTTATATTATGCTATTATCAGAAATTATGATAACTGGTCGATTGATAAGAATTTTTTTTTCCTTTATATTATTTATATTTGTAATCGCTTCTGCACAATGTTCAATTCTGCTTTATTATAATTCATTACTTGGCGTGTTCGTATGAACTACTAACAAAAGACTCTCTTTATTGTAATACAAAGAGTAGCTAACATTGGTATTTTGTGTATAGAACTGGTTCACAATCATCTTGAAAATTTTTTTATCTTTATTATTTTTCACCATATGGTTCGGTTATTAGCATAAAACTATAAAATATTCTTAGTTTTTTAAGAGTAATGTTTATTAAAATGGCTATTAAAAAATATTTTTAATGAAAGACATTTTTCAATATTTGTTAAAATTTTATTAATGGACAAAATGATACTAAAGTAAGTCTATAACTAAATTTAATTAGAATTAAATTAATTTTTAAAATATTGGTTTAAACTTGTTGAAGTATTTTAATATATAAATGTTTCTGAAATTCCTTATATAATAAATCAAAATTATTTATGTTGTTTATTTTTTTTTTTGGAAAACAAATCTATTGCTTGAAATTAAAATGTATTTTTACAGAACATACCTGTAAAAAAAATTGTTATGTATCGTGAAACCTTATAAAACAACTGTGATAATTGTACAAAAATATCAATGTAGTTCTCATGTTTGTAATTATCATATACAATAATAACTTTAGTTTGTATTTTATAAAATTGGTAATGATATAATATCTCCATAGTTTAAAAGGAGTAAAAATGAACTCAAACTAGTGCTAAAATTTATGTATTATAATCATTTTTTTTAATGATAATAACTTTTCAATGGATAGATTGGTTAGATGACACATTTAAATTTTGAAAAAAAACCTTTTTTTGTCATAGAGTATTTCAATAAAAAAAAAATGGCTGTAGCATTTGATTTTCAATATAAAACAGTGCTTTATATCATAAGAATAAAGCTAGAAACATTTAAACTTATTGTCGCTCTTTAAATTTTAATATCTAAGAAATATATTTACTACAATTTTTTTAATTCAATATTTAGAATTTTATATTATAAATTTAAAATTTTTTAATTTTATGTTTTATAGATTTTAAAGATAGAAAATATGACTACAAATATCATATTGCCCTAATCTACAGAAAATAGAATAAAAACTGCCTAAAGAATCTGCTGGCTTATTAATTTAAGTACTTAACATACTAGATTTGAATATTGATATTTTGTAAATTGTTATTAGTCAAAAATTCTAATATGGTTGACCATGCTCCTGGAACATCTGGATCCATTAATAGCTATGAAAATGAAGAAATATTAACTTGGAAGCATCCAATGCATATTTTCCAACGAATTTTAGCATTGATTTTTATGTGTTTAATTGGATTTGGTGGGATTAACTTACAATTCGTTATTAAAATTATAGCTTATCATTAATTTTAATCTTATATTTTCTAGGTTCTTATTTCTGTTATGATAACCCCGGAGCATTACAAGACAACTTTTTAAAGGATTTAAATTTAACTACTTCTCAATTTGTCTATTTATATACTTGGTATTCCTGGCCAAATGTTATTCTATGCTTTGTGGGTGGTTTTCTTATTGACAGGTTAATATATTTAGTAAATTTTTTTATAAATTTTTAAAATTTCATAATTCTACATTTAAATCTGTATATATACATTTTGTATACTATTGTAGTTTAAGACAAATATTCATTAAAATAAATGAATTCAACTAAAATTACTAAATAATAATATAAATTAATTCATCAATTGTATGATTTATGAATTTGTAGAGTTTTTGGATTACGTTTAGGAACCATTATTTATGCATTGTTGGTTGTCATTGGGCAAGTAGTTTTTGCAAGTGGTGCATATTTCAATAGATTGTGGATTATGCTTCTAGGACGTCTGATATTTGGGTAGTACAATATATTGTTTAATTCAATTATTATTATTTTATACTAATAAAATGTTTAATATCTTAAAATTTAAGAAAAATATTATTTTAATGCTAATAACTAAAGTATAGCTTATTGTACTTAACTTTACTAGATCCCTAAGTTATTCAACACTAATAGCCAATGCCTTATCCTTGTATTTATTAGATAACTTGTCAATATAAAAAAACTTTTAAATGAAAAATTTTCTATGTAGTTTAAAGCTACACTTTTATATATACTATAGTTTCCCCTCGTGAGAAGAAATTTTTTATTCATATGAAAATTATTTTACTATATTTTAGATTTTAGCTTCGATGAAAAGGTGAGAAGGTATTTTTTTGTGACTATTATTTATTTTCTCAGTTCTAACTTGACCTTCTTTTTTCAACGATACGTCAAATGATTACAATTCATATCTAGTTGAAGATATTACCCCCAAAAATTGTAAAAATTCCCTCTTTCCCATAAAAGTCTAGTGTATAAAACTTATAACTTTGTTAACTGCTATAACTTTATCAATAATGGCCACATATATATATATATATTTTTTTATATAGATGCATGATGTCTTTACCTATCATTTGGTATATTTTTTTTATAAATCTGACTCTTGAACTACCCATAGGGGGGATTTAAAATGACAACTTTTTTTTTTTAATTAAAGTAAATCATTAAAATTAATTTAGTTTTGTATATTTCAATTGTAGAATCTTTATAAATACCAAACGTTACTTAGAAATGCTTACTATGATTTCTATTTAAGGGTTCTATTACGATAAAATTGCAAAAAAATATTGAGCTTTTCTGATAAATATACTGTAAATAGTAAATATAAAATTTGCGTATTAATCTTAACAATACAATTTTTTTTTTAATTCTTCATAAAATTTTCTATTTAATGTCAATTTCAAACTTGCAATTTGAGCTAAAAGTTATGCTAATAAGTTAATTTTTTTAGCTTCGATACGAAGCTGAGATGGTTTTAATTTTACCATGATGTGTTTTTTTTGTGTTTGTTGCCACTTTTTCTCAGCTCTCACTGAACCGATTTCTTTTAACAATACGTTAAAAGATTTAAAATCGTATCTAGTTGAAAACATTACCCTTAAAAATTCAAAAATTTTCTTTTGTTTCCCGCAAATGGGGGAAATCTCCAAAAAAAATTAAAATTTTTAAAATCGGTAAATTTTGTTATTTTTTTCATTTTTTTTACTTAAAACTTCTATACATTTTTCAAAAATCAACAAATAAACATTATTTTCTTTTATATTAAAACCTTAGATATTTACCTTTCATTTGATATCATTTTTTTGAAAATCTAACACTTAACCTGCTCACTGGGGGGGATTTAAAGTAGTAACTTCATTACAAAAAATAACTTTTTCAACTTAATTTTTGAAAATATTCCGGAAATACTGCGTCCTTTAAATTTATATAAAATTAAAGGTTATGTCATGTACTATAAAATGAAAAAAAAAATTTGTTCTGACGCCTTATCATCTATGTGTAAATTGCCACCTAAATTAAACAAAAATGTAATATTTGCAAAAAAAATCAGCTTCTATCGTGATGTTTTTTGTTCTTAAAACTACCATAACTTATTGAAATATTAACAAATAAAAATTATATTTTTTTATATAGAAACTTTTCATTTAATAAAATTTTTTTTTAAATTTGAACTTTAACTTGCCCAAAGAGGGGGATTCAAAATAGCGGCTTTTTCACAAATAGTCAATTTTTTAAACATAACTTTTGAAAATGTTCCGGAGATACTGAGTCCTTTAAACATATATCAAATGAAAGCTTATGATATGTATTATAAAATGAAAAAAAAATTTGTCCAAACGATTTCTATTCTGCGCGCAAATAACTGCCATAATTAAAAACATTAAGTATAGTACTATCAAATTTTGATAAGAAAAAGTTACATATTTATAATCCCAAAGTTAACTGGAAAGACTTATATTTGTTCATTTATTTTCTCAATGTATGTTACAACGTTTTATATTGTAAAATAAACATAGAAATAATTTTTCTTAAAATCTACTATAAAAAATAGCAATCTTGATTTTTTTTTTACATTTTTTTAAGTTAAAAATTTTTTTTATTAAATTAAAAATATATACATTTTTGATGATATTTTTATAGTTTAAAGTATAAATGATAATTAAAAAAAATAAAAGTAACGCAAAATATTCAGTAGAATATTGTTAGATTCGTCAAAACATTATGAACCATTCTGTATAAATTCAATTTTTAGTCTTTATAAATTATAATTGTAGTATGAACTTAAAGATCATTAAAAACCCTTTTTTATTCTAAAAATTTGTTTTTATATAGCTTTATATTAAATCAGTGTATTAGCCTATTGGAAGATTCCCAATACATTGTATAAATTTGTATATATGAGATAAACAGTTAGTTATTTGAAATATTTTTATTATTTTTTATTATTAATTAATTAATAATAGCATAGAAAACTGTACAAATAACACACGTGTACTACTTTACTTCATCCTATGCGAAATAATGTAGCTTATTGAAATTCATTGTTAGTGCATTAAAAGTAGTCATGTAAGTGCTCTTAAACTTAATTAATACACTGTTTAATTTTAGAATAGGAGGTGAATCATTAGCAGTTGCTCAAAATAGTTATGCAGTTTTATGGTTTAAAGGTAAAGAACTTAATATGGTGTTTGGATTTCAATTAAGCTTTGCAAGAGTAGGATCAACTGTTAACTTTTTGGTGATGGAACCATTATATCAATATATCAAAACTGTGTTTAATTTTCCTGATAATAAGTCAATGGCATTTGTTTTATTTGCAGGTGATTTACATATTAAGTCATGTATTTTAAGTTACTATTTTTAATTTTAATCATTATAATAAAAAATATGTCAATAAATCTTAAGCATAGAAAAGAAGGAGGGGAATCTGTTGTCACTAGTTAAAATACAGATTGGTAAAAGTAGTATTTGCCCCCCCCCCCTCAAAAATGAATGAAACAAAAAATGTATTATTAAAAAAAAATATTATTGTCAAAAATGTTAAGTTGTATTAAATTTAAAAAAACTTTCTTTAATATTTTGATTTTATAATTGAAAATAATTATAATTATAAAATAATTTTTCAATTATTTTTAAAACTATTTATTATTGATTTCAGATTTTCTGATTAAACGATAATATTATTATTATTATTTTATTATCAATTTTAGCCTAGCAAACTTTATTGACCCAGATGAAATTGCTATCAGATTTTTGCTTAAGATTAAGTTTGTTTTTTATTCTGTATTTATCATGTACTATTATATTTTAATGCTGTAACTTTACTTTGATTTTGAATATCCTATAAATTTAACTAAATATTTTTCAAAGTTTATGCTATGGTAATATTTTTTATATATTGTAATAAATAAAAAAGTTCTAATGTGAGGTGATGTACAGTAATTAGTAATCTCCTTTTTTTATTTCAACTTTCACATTTTATAATTTTGAATACAATAATTATAATTTTAAAATTATGTAAAATATGAAAAAGTAAAAATTAAAAAAGGTGATAAATCAGCCATCATCTTTTTTACCAGCTGTACAACGTCTCATATTATAACCAAAATTATTTTTGCAATATATTTTTTGCTTTAAATGTTTAGATTCATATAATTCTGTTGATTATTTTAAAATAAAGTAATTTTATTAGATATAATATGATATTTATATATTTTTTACTAAATTTCTGATCACTAATTTTCTTTTAAAACAGCCAGTTTAACTTGTGTTATTTCTCTAATGAGCTCATTAATTTTGGCTTGGCAAGATAAGAGAGCTGAAAGATTGTTACACAGAAAGTTGCCTTCTGCTGAGGAAGTAGTAAAGATAACAGATGTGAAGAATTTTAATAAATCATTTTGGCTTGTAACATTTATTATTGTTTGTTATTATACATCTATATTCCCATTTGTCGCTCTTGGAAAGTAAGATTTAAATCATAACTACTTTATTTATAATTTAAAATATTTATGTTTGCTTTATTTTNTTTTATTAAGTTCTTTGACTTTATTTATAATTTAAAATATTTATGTTTGCTTTATTTTTTCATGTTAACATAATTTGACAAAATTTAGTTTCACTTCGTAGAACTTACTTCATTTTTTTTATTTTTTATTGTGGGTTGTAATGTTATTAACTGTTTGATTTTCAAATCTAAACAAACTAAACTAAAGGTGTTGGGCTTGTTTAGTAAGTCAAACTAGTATAATCAAACAACATGTAGAATTTGTTGAAGAATGATAAAATAATGTTTTGATGAAAAATTATCAAATTGGTATTTGATAAATTATTTAGATAGTTTGGTTCTCTCTAGATTTGATGAAAAATTGAAAATTTAGTTTAATTTTAGATATCAGGGTTTGTAATATCATTAATTAGTAATATTGTAATAGTATATGTTTATCAAAATGTATTGTCATAATAATACTTTAAAATATAGTGTCATTAAAATTAATATTTTAAATTAAATACTTAGATACAATAATTTTTATTCAAAATTATAAATAAAAATAATTTTTTAGTGAATATTTTATTTTTTTCATAGTTAGCCTAATGTCGAAACTATAGTAGTTACATTTTTAATTTTAAATTACTTTTGGCTTTAACTTTTATATTTTTATACTGTTATTAATATTAAAATTCCTATTTATATTATTTCATTGTGTCCTTAGTCTAGAAAACCTGAAAAACATGGAAAAGTTCGAAGATTAAGATAATGTTGATATATGAGGAGCTCAGAGCCAGATCGGACTATCCTTTTAAATATAACAGCTGAGAAAAACAAAATTTTGTAGTTTGAACAACAAATTAAAATTTTAATTGAAAAAACTAAGACATATACTTTTACACTTATGAATAGTAGTTATCCTTTAAAATAATTCACTAATTAAACAGCTGTTAAAAAAAAAAAATCAAGGATGGTCCACTCTAGCATTATAGAATTAATTTTTATAAGGCTTGATCTAAATTGTTTTTTGGCATTATCTAATAAAATTAAAAAAAAACAAATTATTTTGATACATGCATTACTAGATAGCAGTAGATTAGAATGATTGCAATAATTTTATCAAAAATGAAAAAAATGTATAAAATAGTTCGCTCTAGCTCTGAGCGCCTCACATACCCTTTCATATATTTAGATTGTTAATTTTCAACATTTTTGTAGTATAGCTCTCTTTAGTTTCCTTAGTTTCTTCTATGCAAATAAGTTTTGATGAAATCATACGCCCCTGCATAAATTATATCACAACCATTAAGCAAAGCATAGAATTTTAAATCTTACTTTTAATTATGGAATAATCAGAGAATTTATCAATTTTGAATTTGTGCTTACTATATGCTGTACATTATTTTATTTAATTAGATAAAATAAATCTAAATATTTAATTATTTTTGTAGGGTATTTTTTGAAAAGAAGTATCACTTCAGTTCCGGGGAAGCTAATATTATTAATGGAATCATATATAGTTCAGGTGCATTTCTTGCACCGTTATTTGGTATTATTATAGACAAAACTGGACGAAATTTATTTTGGGTATTTATATCAATCTTTGGAACATTAGTTGCACATTTGTTGTTAACTTTAACTTATGTTAACCCCTATATTGCAATGGTAATATATATATATATATTTTAAAGTAAAAGTTATCCAGAAGAGTTCCTATTTAAATTTTATAATACAATTTATTTTAGTTAACAATGGGTACTTCATACTCTATGCTAGCTAGTGCATTATGGCCATTAATCGCTATGGTAGTGCCTGAACGTCAAATGGGAACAGCTTATGGCATGTAAGTACATAATAAGTTATTAATAATATATAATTGATGGTTAAATTTTATAATATATAACTAAACCTATTTATTATATACATATTGAATTAATGGGTATTCTCACAGGAGGTATCGGAGTAGAACTACTCTATAATAAAAATACATATAAAGATTACATTTTGAAGATTATATATTATAGTGTTTAAAATGTCTCTAGTATAGTATAGTGATAATATTGCTATGATAATAATAATATCATGTAACTACATTCTTTCAATTTTTTACAAAATCAAAAAAAATCTGAATATACTCTAGCAATAATTACCATGTAGTCATTTATCTGTGGCTTATGTCCTAAAACAAATATGTCTTAAAAATAGGTTTTTAATAGAAATAAATAGAAATGTCAAAGACTTTTATGATTAAATCTGGAAATTTAAAAAATTGATTATACCTATCATATACTTAAACTATGTAAGGGAGAGTTTTAGAATTAAAACGTCTACTACATATACATTTTACGTATACATTTTTTTATGTATAATCTATATGTAATAGATATGTGATGTATATTATATTTAAAACATTTAGGTAGGGGTTTATGCATGCAAATCATTTCATAAATCTATTTTTATACCTCTAGACTAGTAGGAGTAAATAAAAAGGTGTTTTAGAGTTCAAAATTCCCACAAAAAATAAAAATAATAGAGGGATTAATAAAACCATTCCCTTCACTTAAATAATATATGCCAATGTCCATCAAGCCAAGTATGGATTTTTGTTTACATTGATTAGAAAAGTCGGGGAATTCAAAAAACTTTAATTTGTGGCAATCATTAATTTAGCTGTGATATACTAATATATTATATAACTTCACAAGGAAATAAAAAATATTTTTGTATACAAATATAATTTTTTGGAAATTGTCAGATCTTTAAAATTGTTTAGGAAATTTCAAGATAACCAATCTCTAAAATTTAATTGAAGAAAAATTTTTATATCAAAATTTATATTGATTCTGTGGTATTTGTTTCATAAGTTTTTCATGTTTGTTAGAATATGAATTTTTATAATTACAATATCAAATATTAGTCTATGTTATGCAACATAGACTGACACTGAATGATAGGTCTTATACAGTGTTATCCGTTTATCATAATTCAATCAATAGTTCAAACAACTAAAATATAAAGAATTTTTAATTTTTTTTTTTACTTTTAGTTGCATTATATTTTTTAATTAATGGCTATGTAATACTGTAATAAGTTCATTCTTTATACTTTATAGGGTGTTAACTTAATTTTTTCATATAAAAACATAATTAATTTTTTTTTAATAAAGATTTATTAATTTTATCTTGTAGCATTAGAATTTTTTATATATTTAATTTGTTTATCAGTTATAAAACTTTAAAGTTTTTATTTTTGGAGTTAAAATGTATATACAACATCCAAGGAATTAAAAATACTGGTAGCTAAATGTTTTATTGTAACATTACTATTAAAAATACAATATGCTACCTAAAGTAACAAAAAAAAAATTCCTTAGTGAGTAATAACTATTTTCAGAGTATAGTATGATTAATGATAAACTGATCACTCTGTATAATCTTATTAAAATGTGGATTCTTCCATGAAAATTTATTGTTTAACACATTAGAAGTATAAGCCATTATTATTATTTTAAGACTTTTACATTAGATTGTTTACATTTTTTTTATAATAATATTATGATTGTATAAAGAATTACATTTTATCTGATTTTTGAAAATTAAATAACCTATTTTTTTTTTATAAAAACGAAAAATGTTTTAATAAATTGTAAGAATATTTTTACTAAAGAATTTTTATATTTTAAGAGCTCAATCTGTTGAAAATCTGGGACTTGGTACAGTAGCTTTACTAACTGGTATTATAGTTGATGCAGATGGTTACTTTTTGGTTGAATTATTTTTCTGTCTGTTATTGAGTGGTAAGTTTTGACAAAATCAATTGTTTGCTACAAGAACATGAATAAAATTACCAATAACTTTACATAAAATCTTTTTAAATATGTATTTTGTAAAGTTATTAATATTTTGATTCATGTTCTTGTAGTTAGTAGATGATATAAGTATGAATACATTTTTCACTTTTTAAATAATATATTTTTATTATAGTTGCAATACTTTTGGCTTCAATTTTATGGTTATCAGATTCTTTGGGTAAAAAAGAGTTAAATATGAGTATTAAAGAGAGAAAACAGTTGCAACTAATTAAGTAAATATTAAAAAAAAAAAATTATTTATTTTTTCAACATGCATATAATTTTATATTATTTCCTATTTTTATTTTTTAGAAATTCTGATCCAGAAGAGCAAAATCTACTTAATGACGCATTAAATGAAGACTAAAAAGTATATTGCACTTTTATTTTTTTAAATTATTGACTACAATATTTTATTTTTTTGTGTTTATTTTATCAATACTCAGTTATAGGAAATAATTATCAAAATTGTGTTTCTAAATTTTAGAACACACACTAATATATATACATGTTATTATTATTATTGTGAAAAATTATTATGTGTCTTGATAAATAATATCATAATTACTGTATACTTGATCAAAAAAATATATATTTAAAACTATTTATCTACTCTTATAGTATGTTTAACATGAATATGTATACAAATATATGGTAATATTATGAACATATATGTTTAAAGGATTTAAAAACAATCTATTTAGTATATATAAAAAAATCATAATTTATTTTAATTTTTAATTTAAATCATTCCATATCAAACTGTATATTTTAGTTTTTAGTACGATCATGTGTACTAAGATTTCATTATTACATAATATTATTGCACATATTTTTATGTTCCTTGTAAGTTTTTTAATTTTAGTACTTAGTTACTTCTGTATAATTTGTTTGTATTTATCTAGATAATTTTTAATTTTTATTATTTTGATTATTGTGCTGTTTTTACTTGCAACCTATTTATTAAGTTTTATTTATGATTAAAATTTTATTATTATACTGGAGAATTGTAATTATTAAATGTTATAAATTTGATATTTCTCAAATTAGTGTTTTATATGAATTATTTTTTTAAATAACGTCTAGCAAATTTTATTTGACTTTTATAAAATTAAAACTTAGTTTCTTGGAACTTATCAAGGGTAACAATCAGGATCGTATTTACCTGGTGGCTTAGAGGCAAATAACTCCTTAAAAACTTTAAAGGGCATTAAAACTTAAAAAGTTTTCATAAGTTATAATCTCCCATGTTATTTTATCAAAATGTTAGATGATCAAAAGAACTTAAAAAAATTTTTTTTTTAATTTATTTATAGGCTTCAAAACATGTTCTTTAGTGTGATAATTATTTAAATTATGTAAATGTTATTACATAGTAAAAGAAAATGTTACATTATGTATATAGTTAATATTTTCTATTACTATTGTCTAATTATATTTTAAATAATCGAGTCAATTATTTAAAATAATCTGTGTGAAAAATCATCTTTGTGATTTGAAGAAAATAATAATTTTGGTTTCTTGTCTGTGGGCTAGGGTGTATTTGAGTGAGCTTGTTCTAATGTATGAATGTAATCTGACTTGTTGGAAAATAAGACATTCGAGAATAATATGATTTTAAATTGATGTGTTTCGCTATTTGATTTTTTGGACATTACCATAGGCAATGAAGTATACATCATTCTGACGTACTCTTGATTGTACTCTTGTGATTATGGTTATTTCACGTTTATTCAAAAAATTATTTGGATTTCTTGCGCAAAAATCTTAGAAATGGCCCTGAGTAGGTTGTTTTATTAAGTTCTTTGAATAATTAACTCACGAATCTGTTATTGATATTTGAATTATTAAATTAACCAAAAAAATTTTACTTTTATATTTACAATAGTTTTGAATTCTAAAATTAAAATTGGCGTAAAATTAATTATTTTTTATAGTATTATTTTACAATGAAATTAATGCACATATTTAACTAATTTAGGTATAATTAATATTAATAAAGTCGTAGAATAATAAATATTGAATAATTTTTTAATAGTTTGAAATCAATTAAACACGAGTTATTTGCCTGTAATTTTTCAAATCTTGTATTTAAAACTGAAGTTCAAAGGGGTTTTTTTCAGGATTTCACTTTGAATGTAATTTTTGCAAAAAAAAAAAGAAATAATTTATTCAGAGGATCTCAAATTAAATGATTCTTTTAGTATAAATACTGCAGTTCTTACTGCTACTTTGAATACTGGCCAGGGGCTTACAAATTTAGAACAGTTTTCTGTTGTACTAAATATGCCTTGTATGAGTAATAAAACGTATCAAATATATCATGATTAAATTGCCAAGCAAACTGAAAAAACTGCATGGGATTCGATAGAGTTAGAGGGGAAAGAAGAAACTAGGCTTGCTATTGAAAATGGAGAAGTGAATGACAAAGGACTTCCCATTATGGCTTATAAAACTTAAATATTTTAGTGTGTAAATAAAGTAGTTTTGTAAATTAAATTCTTATAATTAAAATTAGTTTTTTTATAGTTTTATAACTTCAAAATAATTGATGTGGATCTCATATGATTTAACTTGTTTTCTAAAAATATTTAGTTTTTCTTACTCGTCAAAAATAAATAGTTTAATTATTTTTATAATCAATTAAAATTTGTGAAATCATGACTATTAGTATTTACAATGAGGCTGGTGCTAAACTATAGTTTTTATACTACATAAAATAAACGCGTGTCGTTATCAATATAATCGTATTGCATCAATAAGTAAGGCAGGTATACAACCGGTTTTGTTATCGACTATAACACGACGAAAATACTCCCAATAATGGACACTCACATTAATAATCATTTATTTCTCACACGACACTGCGTAACATGTAAAAACTGCAAAATTACCTATATTCGACCCCTGAAAAAAGATCGGTACCCAGACGCCTTAAAGATATATTCAATATACAATTGTATGACTTGTTTAAAAAATGGGATTTTTGTTTGAAATTACATTTTCAATTAATAAACATTTTATTTAAAGTATTTTGATCCTTATCAATTATTAATTGTCCTATCAAATAACGAAAAAAAGGACGCATCTTTGGTTTAAATTAAAAGTTATATGATTTAAATTTTTATTGAGCTAATTTGAACGTTAAGGAAATTGGACTAATCATAGGTTATTCAAGAAATAAGATAAAAGAATTCTTCATAACAATGTTTTATCAGAAATATCTATTAATAATCTAACAACAAATGTATTTAAAATGTCTTGAACAATTAATACAGTATTAATATTATACGGAGGTAAATGGTAAACTCAATATGCTAGCAACCCATGTGAGGACTGAGACTTCTAAGCGCAATATTGGCATATTAATTGAGACAAGTACCCATAGAGCCACAAGTAGTAGAATCATTTGTATAATGAATAATATTGATTTCGAGCCTATATCTCGTACATTCAAAGTGTTGGCAATGTTAAGACTTCGATTTAAAATAAACTGTGTTAGTTGGGTTAACAATGTTAAAAATGGCACCATGGTACTAATGAGTCCAATTACTTGACGTACGGTTACTGTGATCACGGCGAATAGTGCAGTAATTACATGTAGAAAATTTATTTGTTCTGCTGATTGACCACAAAACTTCTCTTGATAATATCTGTTGATATCTTCTTTCATTAACAGCAAAATATCTCCGAAAGAAAATTGAGGTTGCTGTTAGAGAAAGTATATATTCATCATTACCATTGTTAAATCCATTAAGTAATTGGTTATTTCATTTTAATTTTACAATCAAACAATTTGTTAATTAAGTCTAAACTTACTTTATTTTTTTATCTTTATGAAAAATAAATATATTTTTTGATGGAATCTAGTTTTTTGTGTAGTAATATATAAGGCTGATAAGCTTTTTTTTGAAAATTCATTATCCATAGAATATAGTAGATATAGTTATAGAATAGGAAGAAAATAATATAGATGAAGATATATAAAGTGAGATTTTATGAATGATTGACTTTGTCTAAGAATACAAATATGATAATCTGTACTGAAATAAAGTTGTTTGTTTCTGTAATAAGTCATTACAGGTGAAAATTTCAACAGTTTCTCTCCAATAATAGCTAAAGAAAAGTTGTATGTGTTTTTTAAAAAGTAAATGTTTATTTATTTATACAAGATTTAGATTGATATATGCCTTACATTTAATGTTTTAAATGCAAATAAATGCATTGATTTTTATATGTTAAAATAAAAAAAATTTATTCTTTCCTTACAAATAAATACTTAAAAATGTATACTCAAAAATAGTTCAAGGGTTAAATAAGGGGATACAATTATTTTTTATTGTTATTAATAGTACATAGTACTATACATTTTTGAAAAAAGAAAATTATATTTTATTTTGTATTTTTGAAAATATTATGTGAAGTATATTTAATCTGTCACTTTGTATAGCTGTATCTATGAACTGTATATCATGCTTCATTATAAATACCTGTAAAAAAGATTTTGTGTGACAATTCATGATAATCTTTAACAAAAAATTCTAATATCAAATGAATATCAATGATTTAAAAATCAATAAAAGAAAAATAAATGTTTTCTTAAATATTATTTATCCTATTTTTATAATATTTTAAAACAGATTTTTTAATTAAGCCAAACAATAAACATAATATTATGAACATAAATTAAATATATTTTTTTAACAATGTAAACATTTATTTTTATAAACCAATTGATTAAATTATTATTGCCTTAATTAAGTAAATCAACAGTTAATAAAAAAGTTTATTTTCTTCTATTGAGTTTCTCAATAATGCATTATTATTTATGGAAGTAAAAAAAAGTCTTTAATGTTTTACATCAAATATAATATATTGTTTTGTGCTCATTTAAAATTAATTGTTTGTAAATTTATTAATAAAGCTCGATAAATTTTGATCATGATTTGTTTGAGTTAGTTTTTATTTTATTCTGGTAAATTTTATGTCATTGATTCCAAATATATCCCTCAGATTTGTTTTACCTATAATATTTTAACAGCAAATTGATATTAGTTGTACAGTATTTGTGAGATAATGCTTTTTGTACACTTAATTAGTTTTAATATATATATATTAGGATGGAACAGATCTAACTGACAACTTATATAGCTCTATAAAATTAAAAATTTTTTTAATCAATTTTTACAATATAAAACTATATTTAAAATATATTTTATATTATTTTTTGCAATTACAAAAAATATTTTTATTAAATTTTTTTTTAAGATTTGAAGATAACTATTTTATAGATAACTTTTAAAGAAAAATGTTGATACCAAAAACTCTTATTTTGATTCAGTAGTAACATTTACACAGCATTTTAATATTTGTTAAATTTTGATTTTTTTTACAATTTTCCTATGGTATCAAATGTTAGTCCATATTTTGTAAAGTACAGAAGTAAACATTTATTATGTTATTTACTGGTAACAATACGCGATTTGTTTTCCATGGATATTAGTAACGTTTAACGCGCTTTATACAGAAATCATTATCTGTTATAGTTTCTAACTGTAGTCCAATTCTTTAATTTGACAGACTTAAGTAAAAAATTTGTAATCTCATTCGGCAATTACTACGCTGTATGTTATATTATATTACTTTTTCAATTTTCATAATTTCGGTTTTCTATTAAATGAGCTGGTGTGTAATGTTATTGATGTTGTGTTCCTAAACTGATTTATCTATTCAATAAATGAAATATTGATATTTGTTGATACTGTCGTAACACAAAACAAAGCCCTAAACAAAAAACAAATGAAAGTAGAGTAGTAGAGTAGGTGTAGTATGTAATGTGTACGAAGATGATGTTGAGTCTGCTGCCTGGGTATTCACGTACACGTGAATACCCACGACGTGAATACAGTCGTCACCGTGCTAGGCTGACACTCCAGTTTAGCTGTAGGTGTCGAATGGCCGTTGTTATAGGAAGGGAATAAAGGTAACACCTAGGTATGAGGTGCAGACAAAGTGCTAGACACAAATACTGGGCGTACCAGGAAAGGAGTAAAAAAAAGTACGACGTGCAGACAAAGTGCAAGACACAAGTACTTTAGTTATTAGGAGAGGATAATGAAGTACGAAGTGCATGACACGAGTACTCTGAAATGTCGATGACGAGAGTAGGTAGGCGAAAAAGGAAAAACAAAGAATTGACTTTATGCAGCAAGCTGGACAGTGACAACTGAGGTACTGAGACTAATGAATGACACAGAGTACTGGAATCGACTGACCACCAAAAGGCCAGGAATTTTGGGTTAAAATAGTAATTCAGACGTTTGCCAACTTTGCAATAAATATGAATGGACAATTCATCAGTTTCTAGAAACGGATGCACCGTCTTTATTTTATTATAATAATTTTTTACAATAGTGGTAACGTGACACCATCACAGTACTTATTTCTCAGACATATCATTGACCATCCAATTGTTGTATATTATACAATGGTTTAAGTTTTACCTACATTATTTAATCATTGTGTACACCTAAATTTATTTTTAAGACTGTTTTAATATAATATTTCAATAAAGTTAAAAATTTATGAATTAATTTTTAATTTTTTTATTGATATTTTTAAAGTATTTTTGAAGTTCTCATAACCATTTTCTATAAAAAAATTATTAATTATTACTAGAACTTTAATTGATAAAATGTTATAACAAAGAGTTACACTTTACTTTTAGCTTCAATTCGAAGCTGAGAAGGTATTGGTTTTTTTTTTTTTTTT